TGAACCATGAGACCACTGGCCTGATTGCCTTCTTCTGGTCTTAGTACCTCGTTTTCCATTGCCTACAAATTGGCACATTCCACTGCCACTGTACTCAACACAGTAGTCTCCCTGAGGAGAAGGGAGGCCAGGGAATCACCAGTACTAGCCAGTAATCACATGGCTGCCTGAGCCTTGTAAGCCTCACTGCATATAATGGCTGCTCTTCCTATGCAGGTTGACAGCATGTTTCTAGCAGGGTGGTCACAGTGCTACTAAAAGGTGCAACAGGCTACTGTGCTGTTACAGCGCATTACACAGGAGACAACCAGGGTGCTAGATTTAAGGGCTGTATTCAGCCTTGTGCTTCTCTTAAACTGAAGCTTTAATTTGTATGACTAAAGAAACATTTTCTCCTCCTGGTCCTAGGTTGGCAGTCACATCACTGGGGGAGATATTTATGGAGTGGTGATTGAAAACTCCCTTATCAAACACAAAATCATGTTGCCCCCACGGAATAGGGGTACAGTAACGTATATAGCTCCTCCAGGGAACTACGACACGTCGGTAAGTTCCCCCTCCCACAGTAGTGCTGGCTTGGCCAAAAGGTGTGTGTACCCCCTTCAGCATCCCCACAGCACTAGCCCAAGGGCTTTTTATGCAGCTGGGTATTGAAACCTCCTGCTGCCAACTTGCCAACAGTGATCACCCTAATATCTTGTGAAATCAAGCTGCTCTGTATGGTGAAAACTCATCCTTGCTCATGTGTGTCATACCCCATATTTGCCACCACATTGAGGGTGGTCCTGGAGCGTCCCAAGAATATGCAAAATCAGCAATGGCATTTTCATTAGTTGCTATGGGTTGTGATTACTTGAAGTTGAGACTTTATACCGCCACTTGATTTCTCTGAAATATGGGAAGTGGGCTCCCCACAGGCTGTGGTAGTACACTGGGGTGCTGGGAAGGCCTGTGGTTCTAAAACTATCTAGTCATTATGGCGTGCATTGCCGGTGGAATCCTGTATTAGAGCCATGGGAATGAGAACTTGCACATTCTTCCAGCTGTCTGCTCACTCCTTGTTTCTGCTTGGTAGGACGTTGTCTTGGAGCTAGAATTTGAAGGTGTGAAGGAGAAGTTCACTATGGTTCAAATCTGGCCTGTACGTCAAATCCGTCCCGTCACTGAAAAGCTACCAGCCAACCATCCATTGCTAACTGGCCAACGGGTCCTTGATGCGCTCTTTCCGTAAGTACCAGCTGGGGTTCTCATCTTTGGACATGAATTCTTTTAAGAGGAGCAGAATATTCTATATAAAACTTCCATGTCCCAAAGCAACATCCCAAAAATGGTGATGGAAGAACTTCAGAGGAATCCTTGACCAACCCCCCAGGCCCCTCCAAAACAAAAAACAAACTACCCTCCATTGCACCAAAAGGTGAAGAAAAATGTCATAATAAAAGATCTACTAAATACTACCGCTGGGGAGTCTCCCAGGATAAATAGTCAGTCAAAGGTCTTATCAGTGAGAAAGCAACTGTTATACACATTTTCCAAATTGGAGGCCCAAAGTTAGTCCCTGCAGTTTTCAGGGACTTCATAGGTTTGGCATCTGTAAAAACAGACTCCTTATTGCCTTCCTATGGATTCAAGTATCTAACTTTGGCATCTAAGCTTGACAGTTTTGGCTTAGGGATGTGAAAGGTTAATTGGTAAGCCTCACCACTTCAGTTAATGGGTGGGGGCAGGAGCGGGAGCAGCCCCCTGCCTGCCTCGGGCACAGGGCTAGTCGAGCCCCTTGGGGTCCACCATGGACAGGAGCTGGCCTGCGGACCCCTGCACCCATCCCCCTCAATCAGTTAACCAGTTAAACAGGCTTTACATCCCTACTTTTTCCTAATTGCTCAAGTCACTTCTCTACAAGATGCTTCTAAGTTGCTTCTCAGACATCTCCATTGGCAAAACCCACTTTGGGGGATATGGACCTATAACAGCCCAGCTGTTGTCCCAGCACTAGCTAGTTACTCTGGGAACAGTGGTAGGTGCTGTTGGTACAGGGGCGGAATAGCCTGTTCCCTTTGTGCTGGCTTGTTAAAATACCTCATGCCCGCATGACCTGGAACGCTGAACCTGGCTCTTTATGCAACTTGGCACTTCTTAGGCAAGTGAAGCGAGATGGCCTCAGAGTAGTGCTGAGAGGAAAAGGCAATCCGATCTGCAAACAGGACAGCGCTTTCCTCTGCCTGGGCTTAGTATAAACCATCTGGCTCTTCTTTACGTAGGTGTGTGCAAGGGGGTACTACTGCTATCCCAGGGGCCTTTGGCTGTGGAAAGACTGTGATCTCGCAGTCTCTCTCCAAGTACTCCAACAGTGATGTTATCATCTATGTAGGCTGTGGAGAACGAGGAAACGAGATGTCTGAAGTACTCAGAGATTTCCCAGAGGTCAGTATGCCTGGGATGCAGGATTGTTTGCAAACATCCCTGGGAATAGAGCTATTGCATGTGTCTAGTTCATACAGTGGCTTTGAAACTCTAAAGCAGGGGTTCCCAACCTCTTTACCGTTGTAGGCCACGTGTGTTAAATGGGCTGCACCCAATTTTACCTGTATCCCCTTGAGGATGTTGGGGGCGAGGGGGAGCCCAGCTTTGTGGTGGTTGGGCCGCAAGCAGCTCACAGGCTGCACGTTGAGAACCGCTGCATTAGATACAGTCAGACTCTTACTGTTCTGGGCCTCATTTCATGGCAATCGAGACTAGTGAGTGAGAAACATGACTGGCCCTCTATCTCAACCGGCTGCAAGACAGTTGTAACCAACATAGTCTCTTGCAGGGGTGGGGTATCGAAGGCCCAGGGGCTGGATGCATCCCCCAACTTTCCTGGATCTGGTCCCCGAGCCTCGGGGCTCCTCCACCTCCAGCATTGGGAAGCCTGTACTGGTGCTCAATTCCCCTCCCTTCCCACCCCTACCCCATCGCAGGGCTGGAGCTCACAAAACCTACTTGCCTGGGCGCCTCCCTCCGCCCCCCAATCTCTGGTGTGCAAGGGGAATATGGGGAGTGTCTTTCTCGTTCGGGAGCCACGTTAGTGAGGGTTTGTTTTTCTTGTGTTGCTTCTCATTTTTTGTGCGATTTTTCTGTGGGTCTGTGGGCCCCCAACCCAAAAAAGCTTCCCCACCCCAATCTCCTGGGATAGGGTAGTTTTGCTAACTGCACTTGCGTACCTAGAATTTGTGGGGGGTGCCAATTGAACTGTAGCAGCACTTTGACTGGGTGCAAAGGGAACACATGGCTCTCAGTGAATGTTGCATGCCATCAGCACACACCTCACTTCACACACCCTTGCTTTATGTGCCCATCACTTTATTAATACTACTAGCAAAAAATGACACTGAGAAAAACCAGTGGACTCTGGCTACCCTGTGTGTGAGCAACGGTAAACAAAAAATGTCTCCTGGGCCACACACACAGCGCCACTGCACCGCTGTCCAGACACCATGTGGCAACGGTCGTCCATGTTGTGCTGTAGTAAGAGCTGTCCCTGGCCCAGGGAAAGTCCGTTTAGGAGCTTGCAGAGCAGTATCTGGACTAACATTGGAATATCTTCTCTAAGTTTTAAAATGAGCCCAAAATAGGTGAAATTACTTAAACACTGAGATTTTAGTTGCGTCCATGAAGGTGCAACTTTCAGAAGGGGAGACTGAGGAAGACGTGTAATGAAATACACTCCCCATTTGCCTGGCAGGTCTCTACTGGACCGTGACACTGCTAATGCTAAGATAAACCAGCAACATGGCAAACATAAGAACCAGAGGACAGTAATACAGCAATACTGCTCCTCTAGCATGTTCTAGGACATGGTTTGAGCACAGGAGTGAGGTCTGTGGCTGAGTTTTAATCCCATCTCATGCTCTAGAAGGTCATTTACCCTTTTCTGCCTCAGTTTCCCTATCTACTTATTGCCTGCATAGTCCTGGTTTCAAAATATAATTATTTGTTCACCATTTTGAAGGAGAAATTATTTGTATTGGCTCTAAGTAGCATTGATCCAGTTACCTGAACGAGTACTACAAACACTTTTTTATTTTTAATAAATCTGTCTTCACACTTTTATGAATGGGAAGACCAAGGTATGTGAATTAAAGGTTTTGCCCAAAGTCACCTGGGGCCTTGGTAGCCGAATAGCCTCTAGAAATCACAAGCCCCGAGTCCAGTCCTCTGCTGTAGTTGTTAGACCACTTGTGAGGACAAATGCTCTTGTACTGGGGCTTTGTCAGGCACAGGAGTGGGGGATGGTCACTGTAGGATTAAACAGGTTTATGTGCTGCTTCTCTTGCCTTTGTAGCTCACGATGGAAGTTGATGGCAAGATAGAAAGTATTATGAAGAGAACAGCCCTAGTAGCAAATACCTCCAACATGCCCGTCGCTGCCAGAGAGGCCTCTATTTATACCGGTAAGAGTCACAGCAGAAGTAAATGCTACTCAGGACAGGTGTCCTCTTGCACTATGGTATCTCCAGATACAGATGAATTCTCCACTCACTGAGTCTGCTTCGTTTCACAGACTGGCCTTTCTAACTCTTATTTCGCAATAGATTTTTTTTGTAGCAGTTTGATCTTTCTCTTAGACATACACTGCCAAGGAATTGCATTTGCCATTTTAGCCCTTACCACTAGTGTCAATTTTTGGTCAGGTCCAAGTCTGTGTTTGTGTGGGATCAACTCTGTAAAGCTTAGCTCATTCTGGAGAGAGTATGAGGCTATTGGTTCTTGACTGTGGAATACAGCCAGGCATTGTTTTATCTCACGTTGCTAGCGTCTCCACGAGGAGTAACAGTAGTTCGAACTAGGAAGCCTAGTTCAAACTACCTAGTTCGTGCCCCGTGTAGCCGCGCTGCACGGGGTTCGAACCAGCGGGGTTTTAAAAATGGCGGTGCCCCACTTATGCAAATGAAGCCCGGGAAATTCAAATCCCGGGCTTCATTTGCAAGTGTGGTATGCCTACATTACCCCGCTAGTTCGAACTAGCGGTGTAGTGTAGACATACCCTGTGTGTGTTCCACTGCCACAGAGACAGCTTTTTAAAAGCCATGTGCGTTAACTAATGGCACAGCTTTTGAATCTGAGGAACAAGAATGGGACCCAGTCTGTGTGGCTCACCAAGGCGGGAGTAAGTCTGTGTCCCGAGAGGGAGAAGAGATCAAAGTAGTGAGGAAACACTTAAATCCAAAAGCAATAACTTTCAGCCTCTATCTGCTCAGTTAGAGCGTGAAGTGTTACTTGAAAATACTTCCTTCCCTTCCAGGGAGGGTGGGCGGGTGAGCCAGAGAACCTGTGTGAACTCTAGCCTGCAGCGTGCTTTTCTTTGTTCTAGGAATCACTCTGTCCGAGTATTTCCGGGACATGGGCTACAATGTCAGTATGATGGCTGATTCCACTTCCCGATGGGCTGAGGCCCTTAGGGAAATTTCAGGGCGTTTAGCTGAAATGCCAGCGGGTAAGTAGTCTTTGTTCTTAGTGCCCAGCCGTGGGAAGCCTTCCTGTGGCAGCTGAGCCTTTGCATGATGTTGTTTCTCTGTGCTGTTTGCAGACAGTGGCTATCCAGCCTATCTCGGTGCCCGTCTGGCCTCATTCTACGAGCGAGCTGGCAGAGTGAAGTGTCTGGGGAACCCTGAGCGGGAAGGGAGCGTCAGCATTGTCGGAGCGTAAGTCCTAGACCTGTCAGTGTTCTCTAGACTGCAGTTCTTCTCGGGTGGGTGATGCGAACCACGGCTCAGTGCTTCTCAGACAGGCAAGCAGACACAGTCCGTGCCCTGAGGAACTGCCAGGCAAAGGACAGGCTGACAGGTTAGCAGTGTTTGGGTGGGGGGGAATGACATGCCTGCCAACAGTATTCAAGGGGGACTGAAATGTGGCGAGGATACGGGGCCTGTGGTGTGCTGGAGGAGATTGTACCATAATCAAGGAGAGGCATGGGTGGAAGATGGTATGCAGAAGGTTGTGATAAGCTGGCACACGAGTGGTTGAGAGTTGGAACGCCGGCAGAGCACAGGCGCCAGTGTGGGTAAGACATCAACTCTTTGATGTGAGTGAAGCTTGCAGGAGGAGGAGGGGGGTGGAATTTATGGAGAGCTTTGACAGTAGTAATACACTGCTTGAAAATCCCTCCACTGACTCCCCGTCCACTGGCATCAGGTGGAGGGAGTGGAGCGATTGTCTGCTGTGGCGAGGCTGAGCGGGGTAAGGGATAGGCGCTGAGACTTAGACGGGAAGAGATGCTAGAGACCTTTGTGAGGGCAGTTTCTGTAGCCTGAGCCAACAATGGAGGACCACTTACTAGGGAAAG